TCTCATTTTTATCATCCCATTCCATCCCAACTTCGGGATTTACATATCCCGTCTCCATTTTAGCTTGTATATTAGTTTTAGTAGTTAGTTTGAAGTATTTTCCGGAGGTTTTGACTCCAGATCTGTTCTGTTCCGCTTTTACGGAGGTTGTAAGTTTTCTTTATTTAATAAAATGCTATTTTAATTTATGTTTGCATAGTATGAGTTAGGGTCCGGATCTCTGGGTCCGGACTAGTTTGGTTGTTTATTTTTTATGTTAAATTAATGTTGGAATGGTTTATCTATTGTTCTTGCCTTATTTAGTTAATTAATGTCGAAAGATTTAATTAACTACTTATTGAGAAGATATTGTATGCCAAAAGGCTACGATATTCAAGTGCAACAGATTAAGTACAAATCTAGAAATGGATGATTAGTAATAGAAATATTATTATTCCAATTGTTAATTTAATATGATAAAATAGATCCAAATGATGTCCTGACCCTAGGTCCAGATCTATACTTATACTATGTAAACTTAATTTATTATTTTTACTCTGCGCCTTTTATAATCGTTCCGAGAAGACTTTCATAAACCAATCCTAATCTTTGCCTAATTAGAGTAATTAAACTAATTCCCTTCGTCCACTCCTCGAGAGACACGACACTCGGAGAGAAAACTAACCCTTTACTGGGAAGGTTTACTACCCGAAAAACTACAACTGTCAGATCACTTGGCTTCTTCCCCGGGACTCTGCTATATAAGGATACCTTGTATTCTCAATTCATCACCAATCCTTCCCTTTCTTCCTTCCATTCTATTCATTGTTGAGAGAGGAACACTGTTGTGCTGCCAATTTGGTGAGAAGTCGCCGGAGCAAGCTGTGGTGATCACCGGAAGTTTCGCCGGAATATCGTCAAAACCTCCATTAAGCTTTAAGGTAAGCCCGTTGATATATCTAGTGACTAGAATGTTCGTATAGATCGTTTCTACGTTCATAAACGCTCGTTTGGTTGAGTTTTGTGTTTGACATGCTTGAAGAACCAAGAATCATAAACCATGAATTTGATGTTTAAACTATGAATTAATGATACCAAAATGACCTATGAACCTTGGAGAACATCCCTATATAGTTTCGTTGAAGTTCAGTGTCTGAAAATGGGTTTTCCGAAAAATGGACCGAAGGTTGAAGAAGATGAACAGTAGCTGAAACACCACTGTCTGGATCGATCCAGAGGGCTGGATCGATCCCCCGAAGTCCTGATCCGAAAATTTGTCTGAAAATGCTATTTTTGACCTCTAAAATCCTATTTTTAATACCAATTGATTATGATCATTAAAAAAATGATTTACCACAATAAAAATGATGTTTTTAACAACTAAAAATGATATGTGTTGCATGACGGTAAGTTCGGGTGTTAACACTCGAAGCTAGGCCGCTATTTGTTATCATTGGTTATGTTAATTGATGATTATGATAAATGAATATTATGGGTGATTATGAGTAATGAACCCACTGATTAAAATAAGTATTTATGATCGAATCATGAGTAAAATGAATACAGTTATAGTTATGAAATGATTTGTAGTGTTAAAGGTATCTAGAGGAACTCTAAGATATACACATTTAGAGAATTGATGTTAAGGCTATCTAGAAGACCTCTAGAATAGATCTCATATTAGTATGGATTTGTGAAACATGAATATTCGATGAATTAGATAAAAATGCATAAACGGGATTCGTAGACCAAGCTAGAGGATTACTCGTTTGGGAATGCCCGATCCAATGTTGACCAATTGCCATATTGTTGTTGTTGCCTTAACTGACTACAGTTAAGTGTCTGAATCATTTGCCTTAAACTAGTGATAGTTTAA